ACACATGACCACTTGTTTTCTATATTTTGACTAGTTATAATGTTTTATAATGGTCTTCTGTTTCAAAGAGGCTTCTCTGATGAGAGGTGAGAGCTACATTTACCTATGAGTATAAGGACAGATACTGAGGATGTAGATAGGAATTACATTGTTTTAGTAAAGTTCTTTAGTAAATAAGTTCTTCTCTAAGATTCATAATCTCACTAGCCCCAGGAAGTTGGCTGGGTTTCCAGTATCAGGTATGATTTCCATCTTGTTGACTGTGCCTTAAGTCCAATTAGGAAGTTGTTGGTTACTTTCAAGATGCAAGTGTCATTATTGCACCCTCAGGATTTTCATGCTGTGGTGGTCACAACCAAGGTTCATAGGCATTGCAACTCTGCACTACCTAATTTCTCCACTCATTTTCCCTGATTGTATAGTTATATTAATTCTGTGCCTGTCATTGTAAAATGTTTCCTGGCTTTGGAGGAGCAGAGAATAAGTAGGTATAAATTAAATAAGTGAAAGTTGCTTCTCTTCTGGAACTGATCTAAAGCAAACTTCATTATTGAGACTTTCTAATCCTGAAGATCCTAGCCCATCTTGATTCTTTCATTTGGTTGCTACTTGGGTTTTGCCTGTGGATCATAGACCATAGTAAGCCTTTGCTAATGAGATAGTGAGGGAAAGAGTCATATTTGATGCTCTCTCAAAGCCATTTTCCCTTGCCTTGGAGCCTATGGCAGACACATTTCCATCATGGCACAGAATCACAGCTACAGTGACATGTTTCTCACTAGAAAACATCACTTCATACCCTTATTAGGATTTAAATGTTTTCTTTATTGCTATCACAAGCGCTGCATTTGGCTTTTCTGTTTTAGTGCTGTTTACACAAAGAAACAAGGTGTTAGTCATATCATGAGTGAGCCAGTGCCTAAGTGGAAGACAACAGCATAGGGCTGGTAGCAAGATGCCAACCTCCCTAGCTAGCTAAATGACTCACCTTCTCAGAAGTCAAGGTTCAGTTTCATGCTTCAGAACATTAAAAACCGAAGCTTTGCTGAGAAACTCCCCAGGTCACTCACTTCTCAGTTGTTGAAACTGTCCTACACTCCAAAGTAAGGCATGGAGAATAAGATAAGGAGCTGGCACTTGCTATGCCTTACCATAGCTTTTTTTTCTGTTGCTGCAATAAAACACCACAATGAAAGCAACTTGAGGGAGAAAGGGTTTATTTGGCTCACAGTATCACGTTACAGGCCATCATTGTGGGGAAATCAAGGCAGTAGCAAACTACAGCAGCTAGTCACCTTCTATCCATAGTTAAGAGCAGAGAGCAAGAAGCACACTGCAGCCGACAACCAACATCAAACTAAATGGAGAGAAAGTCACAGTGATTCCACCAAAATCAGAAACAAGACAAGGTTGTCCACTGTCTCTATATCTATTCAATATAGTTCTTGAGGTCCTAGCTAGAGCAATAAGAAAACAAAAGACGATCAAGGGGATACAAATCAGAAAAGAAGAAGTCAAACTCTCACTATTTGCTGATGATATGATAGTTTACATAAGTGATCCCCAAAAAAATCTACCAAGGAACTTCTACAACTCATAAACACTTTTAGGAATGTAGCAGGATACAATATTAACTCAAAAAAATCAGTAGCCCTCCTTTACACAGATGATAGATGGGCTGAGAAAAAAAAACTTCACCCTTTACAATAGCCACAAATAGCACAAAATTTCTTGGAGTAACTCTAACCAAACAAGTGGAAAACCTGTATGACAAGAACTTTAAATCTTTGAAGAAAGAAATTGGAGAAGACACCAGAAAGTAGAAAGATCGCCCATGTTCTTGGGTAGGGAGAATTTACATAGTAAAAATGGCAATCTTACCAAAAGCAAAGCAGATTCAATGAAATACCTAGCAAAATCCCAGCAAAATTCTTCACAGACCTAAAAGAACGGTACTCAGTTTCATATGAAAAAGAAAAACAAACAAACAAACAAACAAACCCAGGATAGTCAAAACAATCCTGTACAATAAAAGAACTTCTGGATGTATCATAATCCCTGACTTCAAACTCTACTACAGAGCTACAGTACTGAAACCAGCCTGTATTGGCATAAGAACAGACAGGAGGACCAATGGAACCGAATAGAAGACCCGGATATTAATCCACACATCTTCGAACACCTGATTTTTGACAAAGAAGAAAAAATATAAAATGGAAAAAAAGCATATTCAACAAATAGTGCTGACATAAATGTATATTAACATGTAGAAGAATGAAAATAGAACCATATCTATCACCATGAACAAAACTCAAGTCCAAATGAATCAAAGACCTCAACATAAAGCCAGCCACACTGAACCTCATAGAAGAGAAAGTGGAAAGTACACTTGATTGCATTGGCACAGGAGACCATCCTAAATATAACCCCAGTAACACAGACACTGAGAGAAACCATTAATAAATGAGACCTCCTGAAACCGATTCTGTAAAGCAAAGTACACAGTCAACAAGACAAAATGACAGCCTACAGAATGGGAAAGTTCTTCACCAACTCCACATCGGACAGAGATCTGATCTTCAAAATATACAAAGAAAACAAGAAATTGGTCATCAAATGAACACGTGATCCAATAAAAAAATGGAGGACAGACCTAAACAGAGAACTGTCAACAGAGGAATCTAAAATTACTGAAAGACACTTTTGAAAATGCTTAACATCCTTAGTCTTCAGAGAAAGGCAAATCAAAACAACTCTGAGATTCCATCTTACGCTTATAAGAATGGCCAAGATCAAATACACTGATGACAACTTATGCTGGAGACGTTGTGGGGAAAAGGGAACACTTCTGCATTGCTGGTGGGAATGCAAGCTGGTACAGCCTCTTTGGATGTCAGTGAGATGATTTCTCAGAAAATTAAGAGACAACATTCCTCAAGACCTAGTAATAACACTTTTGGGTATATATCCAAAGGATGCTCAATTGTGCCACAAGGACATGTGCTCAACTATATTCATAGCAGCATTGTTTGTCATAGCCAAAACTTGGGAGCAACCTAAATGCCCCTCGACCAAAGAATGGATAAGGAAATGTGGTCATTTACACAGCTGAAAAAATAACACCATCTTGAATTATGCAGGAAAATGGATGGAGCTAGAAAACATTATTTTGAGTGAGGTAACCCAGACACAGAAAGACTATTATCACATGTACTCATGAGTGGTTTTTAAACATAAAGAAAAGAAAACCAGCTTACAAACCATAATCCCAGAGAACTTAGACAACAATAAGGACACTAAGAGAGACTTACATAGATCTAATCTATGTGGGAAGTAGAAAAAGACAAGATCTCCTGAGTAAATTGGGAGCATGGGGACCATGGGTGAGGGTTGAAAGGGAGAGGAAAGAAGCAGAGGAGAGCAGAGAAAAATGTATAACTCAATAAAATCAATAAGAAATTAAATAATAATCAACCAAAAAAAAGCATGCTGCTTCTCCTCAGACAACTCCTTCTTTTCTCAGGATCCAACTCATGAAATGTCACTGCCCACATTCAGGAAAGGTCTTCTATTTCAGCCCAGTTAAGAAAATCTCTCACAGGCGTGACCACCGGCCACCCTGATCCAGATAAAATCCCTTTTGGCATTCTCTTCCCAGATGATTCTAGATTCTATGAAGAAAACAAAAGCAATCACCACATCTTCCTATTCTGTTTTTCACATAGCCTCTTACCTAGGGCCTATATTCCTTTAAGCAAGACATTGTTATCTTCACTTTCATTCATTTAGTAGGATTTTTGAGTCAGCATATAATATGATAAGTTTCATGAAAAAAATTTTCATCTACATATATTACTGCACTTCTCTCATTGACCTTCACAGGACTCTCCTTTGTCCACCTTCTTCCTCCCGGCTTGCCTTTTTCTTCCTCCAGAGCATTCTCCTTTCTGCTTGCATGTCAGTGTCATATGTATTGTGTTTATACACACGCATATGTTATATATAACATATATGCAAATCTAGATTCTAAGCACAAAAGAAAATGTGAGAGGTTTTTCTTTCTCCTATTACTCTTTTCTTGTTCTTCCCTATATCTCCCATTCTCTTGTCCTCACCACATATTCCCCCTTACACACACAGTCACTCATACACACACACACACACACACACACACACACACACACACTACAGAAGACATGTGTATTTGTCATTATGAGTCTAGCCTACTTGGCTTAACATGATGATTTTTAATTTCATTCATTTTTTTCTGCAAGTGTCTGAATGAATGAAACACCAGTCTGTATTCATATGTAGGTATAATACATGCATATATATTTCTAGTTCACAGTTTTTTTATTCAGTCATCTGTTAACAGATACCTATACTGACTACATTACTTGGCTATTGTTATTAGACCTGCAATAAACATGAGTGTGCAAGTATGTTTGTGGTATGGTGACTTAGACTTCTTTGGATCTATATCCAGTGGGAAAATGGTTGGATCATATAGTAGTTCTATCTTTAGCATTTAGAGAAAACTGGTGCTGATTTCTACAGTGGCTATACATGCTGTCGTTCCCACCAGCAATATATAAGGGCTTCTTTCTCACCACCATTTGCATTGCTCCCAACTCTGACACCACGTAGATTGTAGATAGTGAGATGGGTGAGGTGTGGCAGGAAGGAAGTGCCTGCATGGCATGCACTAGCTTTATTCTGTCTTATGATTTCAGCCTGCAGAAAATCCATTCATCTTTAATTCTGTGTGACTGAAAAATAGAAATTATCTACACTTAAATTTATCTTCATTTTATGGAAATGGACAATGAGGCGAGGAGACTAGCTTATCAAAGGTGGTTAGAGTGCCTTATTTCCTGCTACTAGAGATGCTGGTGGGGGCAGGAAGGAGCTGGGGTGGTAGCTCCTTGGTGCCTTGAGGAACTCCAGTTCTAAATTCCACATTCTATTCTAGCATTCACTTATGTTCTCATGGCCACCACACGGTTCAAACAGCTGTTCAGAGCAGGAACAGGGGCTGTCTCCAACACTTTTCAGGTTTTTGGGACCCTACTTCTCATATTGGGTTGCCTTGTGCAGCCTTAATATATGTGGAGGTGCTTATTTAGTCTTACTGGAATTTGATTTGTCATGTTTTGTTGATATCCATAAAAGACCTGCTCTTTCCTGAACAGAAAAGGAAGAGGAATGTATTGGCGGTGGGGAGAGGGACTAAACGGAGAGGAGGGAGGGCAAACTGTGGCTGAGATATAAAACTAATTAACTAATTTAAAAAATAGCTCTTCAGAATAGCATGATCCACTAGAACTTTGGATTGTGGTATTATTATTATACCACTATTACTATTACTATTATTTTAATTGTAAGGTATTTATTTGGAAGGAAATTTCAACAAGCTCCATTGCAATGATAGGAAATGAGGAATCAAAGGAAGCCAATAAACAGTGTCTTATCAACAGGAGGTAATAAAATAAACAATAACAACAGCAACAATAATAATAAACAAACAGGTAAATACTGAGTTAAGAAGGAGCTACCCCATGTGCAGAAGAGTATTTTAAAATGTTTCAAAGTTTTCTTGTATGAGGAGTGTGTTAGTAACTAATTACTTGTTCTTGTTATCTTGAGGCACATAGGCACCTTCGGAAGGCTGTTAAATAAAGATGACCAGAAGCATGGAAATAAAAATCTCAGGATGAAGGGTAGAGGTCTTATAGAAAGCACACAGAACACACAAGTTCAATTTGTATTGTCCATATATTCACTGGAACATGGTCAAACTTCCAGTGGCCAGCCCTTTAAAGAAAACTGAGTACTTTCCCATCCGTATTTCCCACCTAAAGTCATTAGCTGTGGAGAGCTACACTTCCCCATCCTTAACACAATTTTTAAGAGTTCTCTTTGATGACTTCCTGTCTAGACTGGTACCTTGGGGTGGGGGTAGTGGTTGTCACAGAAGCCTTCTGTGTTCCTCTTTCTTAGATCTGAATCTGTAGTCATCAATTCCATGGCAAAAGGAGATTCTTTGCCATTTATTGTCAGTGGGAGCACGGGTCATGGACTTCCACAAGGTTCCTGATGATGGCCTCCAACATCAATATGTTCTGTGGATCTCAGCATGGTCTCTGGTGGCAGTATAGACCACTGTACATCAACATGGCCCTCTGTCACAACACAGGCCATGGACACCATCATAGCCCTCAGCAGCAGAACAGGCAAGGACATCAACATGGCCTCAGGTAGATGGTTCATGGACATCGTGACTTCAGGGGGCAGTATACAGATCATGAACATCTGCATGGCCTTCGGTGGTAACACAGGACACAGACACCAAACACAGCCCCTGGCTGTAGTAGGCATGACATATTTTTTTTGTATTCTGGCATTCTTCATTGTGGATTTCCTTCTTAGGGTGTTCTCAATTTTTATTTCAGTATCTTACACATGGGTCATCATTATCAAGAGTGTTAAAGTCACATCAAGAGAGTCTAACAAAGACAAACTCCTTTGAAGAATAAGACTTCTGAGAAATAACCTGGAGAAACAAGAAGGGGCAAGCTAAGTACTGACTTCAATATCCCTAGTCACCTTTTTGTTTTTTGTTTTTGTTTTTGCTTTAAAGAAAAGGTCTTATAAGCCAATTGGACCTCAAAGAAGCTAAACATATTATATTATCTTTCTGTCTTCATTTATAGCAATAATTTCCTTAAACTAATTCTCAAAAGAAAATATAAAATGCAGAAATTTCTCAAAACTCCTGCTGGTAGCGGTAATGAAAATTCGAACAGCAAAAGCACATTTGATTAATCATATACAGGCATGATTTTCTCTTCTACCATCTGTTTAAAAGATGAAAAATATATTCTTCTGGTAGTTTGGCATAAAGTGTATTTATAGAAAGGTTTTATTTATAGTCTGCCTGTGGATTCTGAGCCTGCCATGACATAGCTTTCAGAACTAGGTACATTGAAATGTTCAAATATTAATGCCAACAACATTCTTATCATTAAAACATGAAAGTTAAAATGTTTTCATATTCAGCTCATATTTTGGAGTCTGTGGCTATGGACTGAACAGTCTATTTGGAACTCTGCTTAAAAATACTAGAATAACTCTGGGTAGCCTTGTTTAATTTCCGTGATTGATGGTATCTAAGTGATTTCAGTTAGCCCATTCTATCTTGTGCCTATCCAGTTTTAAGGTAAACAAGGCTTACCTCAGAAACACTTTTATGGACTGAACACACGTAACCACCAGTTTTTAGTGATGGGAGGCTTTAATATGGGAATTCCAAAGCAATGGGGAAAACTCTACAGGGTGAAACTGAGATCTTGGATCTTTTGAATTTATGTGCTAGAATCAGTGAGATGATTAAACAATAACAATAGATCCCCTTAAGAGAAAACAGCCCCTAAGCCCTTGCCACATTCTTATCCATGCACGTACTGAATAAGTTAAAATTTCATTTACACTTGGCTGTATTCTCAACCCCAAGGATGCCTGTGTAATCTAATTTGCCACCTGAGGCAAAAGAAGAACCTTTTTGCTTTTGTGGATTTTATGAGAAACAGATGGGGCAGTTGGACACTGGGAATATTCTGGAAGGTGGTTGTCCTGCTCTTCTTGGCTAGCTGCCTCAAATACCTCTAATACATAGTGAAAGCAGCCCTGAGTATCCTTTACAATCCCTTAGTCTGACGTGTTCTTATATAGTCCTCAGGATGAGTCAAATGGGCAGTAGACTAACATACAGAAAGGTGAGAGGTCGCACCTAAGAATATGGAATGTCATTTGTTAGCAATAAAATGGGATCTTTCTAATCATTCAAACAATACACTCTGTGGCCAAAAATACACTTATAAGTGATACTGTGAGGACACTTCGTTTTGTGCTGCATTCAAACCCAGTGCAATCACAACTTCTAGAAGATTTAAGGCTTCTAGGAAGGGACCATATTGCCTTGTTATCTCTTCTTTGAGACCCCAGAATTGTATCAACAAAATAGCCAACAGCACACAGTGGCTAATATGCGATTCTGCAGGTGTTTGCTAACAGACATAGTAGGAAGGACATTTGAACTCACCTAAGTGGTGTCTCTTCTGGCCCCATGAGGAAGAAGACAGTTTTAGAGGAGTCAGAGATGTTGTAAATTTTCCTGGCAGCAGAACCCTGGGCCCACGTTGAGACAGGTCCTGCGAGGATGGTCAACTTAACAGTGGTAACTGAGGGTTAGGCAGTCCTCATGTTTAACCTTGTCTGGACAGACATCCTATCTCCTATCTCCGTAGGGTTTGCAGAGACCTCACTGCACAGTAAGCATCTAGCACGTCTACAGAGTGCAGTCATTTCACAGGCTCTGGCCTGAGCATCGCAACCGTGACCTCATTGAATCACAACCATCTAGAAGAATGTTGTAGGGGAATTTTATTTCTTCTACATTAAAAAAGAAAAGACTCTCTGAGCTCACATTCCTGAAATCAGAATTAGGCAGAAAACTGGACTGAGTTCAAAGAAGCGTAAGACAAGTGATTAGCTACTTGGCAGAAGTGAGTAGCAAGAAAAAGTGAAATTAGCAAATGTGCTTAGTTAGAAGAAGGCATAGTAGTAAGAAGTGGAGAAGCTCTTTGAGATTTGTAATGCTCAGGCATGACCAGTAGTGGCAAATATAATGGCACAGTGACTGTGTGGATTTAATCAAGTGTCACTCTTAACTGACAGCTATGAGAAGACAATGGGACACTGCTGCCCTCAGATGGCATTACCTTAGGAAACACGTCATAAATAAAAAGCAGGAGCAAGGCAGGCTGTACTTATAAATATTACAATATGTGTCTTTGTGCTGAAAAAAAAAAAGCAGAAAGCTTCTCGGCTACATCCTGGGCAGAACTGAATTATCCTTAGAGATAGATAGGATCTGGTTTCTGACGCTTCCTGCAGCTTTCTTTCCTCCACCTACCTCTTCCTTCCTCCAGAGGGCACCAGCACCCCATCCTGGAACTGTGGTCTCCTGGCTGCATGTTGAAAGAATTCTCAACAGGAAAGAACCTGGTTATAGACCAATAAACCAATAATGAGACTTCCATTTTAGTTTCAAATATCTCTAAAAACAAATTACATTTTGTTTAAACCCAGACTGATCGTTAAACAACAACAACAGCAAAAATCTGATGATTCAGAGAGAAGAAAACTGTGAGGTTGTGTTCATGGTTTCCAAATGGGAATGGTCAGGTTCATTTGAGTTGCAACAATTACATAGAACTATGCATTCACACTACAGGATATTTTTCTTGTCTTGGTCTGAAAATGAGAAGTGACATTATTTTGCATGTGGAGTGATATGTAATTGGAGATAATGAATTACTCACAAATAGTCTTTTTAAAGCCCAGGCAGCAGGTATGTTTGGGGTATGCCAAAGAAAGCTTAATACTCCTCTGTTGAACACATGACACTTTTATTTGGGGCTTGGAATATCACATACAAAAGGGTACACAGCATCACTGTGGACTTCTTGTGTTCTTAAAACATTTGCTTTCCTGTTGAATGTGTTTAATTTTTTTCTAATAATTTTTAAATCCTGTCTGGATGGTAAAGTTCATGAATAACATGCATCATGTTATTTTCTGTGCATATCTGAATGATAGAAAACGATGTTACTGACTGCTTCTGTTAGTGTATCTCTTTTAGAGTGTGAGCTAATAACAGCTACACTGTGGAAGTCCTTGTTTATATAGATTTAATACATTGATCAGATAAAATTTACAATAATTTAAATCTAACATTGAAGGATACACTTGTTATTATGGGTCCTCAAAAAAGCAATTAGCCGTAAATGGTAAGCAAGTCACATAATAGTTTCACCTAGTAGATGCAGATTTGGGTGTTATTCAGCTTTGACTCAAGTCAAAATATAAAGTCATAGGAATGCTACTTTTTTTCTTTAGAACCATCCTGTTCTTCACAATTCCCTTTCTTTTTTGTCTTTATCCTCTTTTGTTCCTTCTCCAGTTCTTTGTCTTAACAATCAGTGTTTCCACCATGGTGATGTTTTTACCATCATCTCTTTGATGATGACACAGACGCTTTGGCATTCGTGTGAATTAGAAGAACAAGGAAGGCTTTGGAATGCCTCCCCACACTGAGTATGTCAGCTCCTCTAGCTTCCTCTTCCAGGAGACGGTGCCTAGGGTCTTTGGCGCCTCTACCTGTATTTAATTTCCTTGATAAATTGAATAAATTTCATAGGGTGGCTACAACAAATCACCACTGATGTGGTAGCTTAAGATAACAGTTTATTTTGCAGTTCCAGAGGGCAGAAGGTAGCAGCGGGGCTTCGTTTTCTTTAACAGCTCCAGGAAAGATTACTGTTCAAGAAACATACTTGATAAGGAGTTTGATGTTGTGTAACTCCAAGACATGAGGCTACGTAGTCCTTGTAAGGAGTAGTTGTATAGAATGAGGGAATCTAAGCTAGCCTTGACTCCAGGAGGACAAGGAAAGCATGGCCTGGTGAAGCGGGTGTGGTTTCTCCTGGCAGCTTAGACTAGAATTCCGAAGCAACTTTCCTCAAGGGGTTAGGTTAGGATCCCTGGGATGCAAGTTCTTTAGCCTGAGATAGAGCACTAAAGCCATCCAGTGCACTCTGACCTACCTTCTACCACTGCATATTTTCTAGACAAGAAAAATCTATATAAATGTAGTGCTGCTTTTAATTGTAAATGAAAAGAAAGATACACCTAAACAGGAACAGAAAAATTAGGTTTGGTAGGTCTGATAGAAGGGTGCATGCTAATGTTTTCTATTTAGAGCAGCAGGACTGGGCCTCATCTCAGCAGGTATTTCCTCTGAAAGGGGTCGTACTAATAATCACCAAAGGCTATGCCCACTGTGCTAAAATTCATGGATGAGTCACCCTGGGAGGGTTTGAAGGCCACATGCACTGCAGTTGCCACAGAAGACCTTTGGAATGATGCACATCCAGTGATGCAAAGATGACTGTAAGTTATATTTTAAGACTGGAGTAGAAATCTTATCCAACTAGATACCCTGTCCAGGCAATCCTAAAGTCAGCAGCATCTCATCTGTACTGGTTATAGGGCCAGAGATCTAGAGCCCTCTAATCCACTTCTACTTTTTCCGTTGAGAATTGAAGACCAAAGGGTTGCAACCCCAATTTGGATTCAAGATTGTTCAGGAAGACATCAACAAGATATTTTCAGGTCCTATTCTCATGTAGAATGTCTCATGTATTATACTGGTAGGCACAGCATGGTAGGTGTGGCCCAGATGATTGATGTTGGGTTATGGAGCTGTGTTTATGTGAGAGTTCCTGGAGGCCAATGGAACTATCATGATCACATTAATTTTTGTTCCCTCAGTACTGTACACATGTGGAGTTACTCTGTAGATCCCTTCCCTCATTTTCAAAAGCTCTTTTGAAAAGATAATATTTGGACTGAAAAGGTAAACATTATGAGCAATTCTTTGCCCTGTTCAGTCCTTTTCCCTAGTTCTCACTTTTAATTGTTACCATGTGTGGGTGAGAACAAGCTAGCTAGTTAAAG